TTACCCCCTGATGAACAACGGCTGAGTGAACTGGGGCGCCTGGGTGGCCCAGTTGGCTAGGCGTCTACCTTTGGCTCAGAGCATGATCCCGGGGTCCTGGGATCGAGCCCTGCATTGGGCTCCCTGCTCAGCGGGGAGTCTGCTTCTCCCTTTCCCTCTGCCCCTGCTTATTCTCTCTTGCAAATGAATAAAATCTTAAAAGAAAAAAAATAGCTGAATGAACCTGAAATCAGTGGACACCATTCAAGATTAAGAATGAATAGCGGGAAAAAAATGATCTAAAGTTAGAACTTGGGTCTGCACCTCAACTCTGCCACTTTATTAGTGTAACTTTGGGTGATTCATTCTTAGTACTTAGCACGTTTCTCAAAGTGACATGGAGTCATTTATCCCTCTACCTGTGTGTGTGTGTGTCCACATGTACGTATGCCCAGAAAGACATTTACATCAAATGTCAACGTGGTTATATTAGAGATTTAGAAATTGAGTGGCTTTTCCCCTTCTTCTTTGTATTTTTTAATAATATCTGTTTTTTTGGAAATATCTGGTTTTTATTTTTTTTTTAATTTTTTAAAATACTTTAAGATTTATTTATTTATTTGACAGAGATCACAAGTGGGCAGAGAGGCGGGCAGAGAGGCAGGCAGAGAGAGAGAGAGGGAAAAGCAGGCTCCCCGCTGAGCAGAAAGCCAGATTCGGGGCTCGGTCCCAGGACCCTGAGATCATGACCTGAGCTGAAGGCAGAGGCTTCACTGAGCCACCCAGGCGCCCCTGAAATATCTGGTTTTTAAAGATAAAAATGTAAACCATACCCTAAATACTGTCCATGTAAACATGTAATCATATGCTAGAACAATGAAATCTTTCATACTTCTGAGCCTTTGAAATGGGTATTTGTAAAAAAAATTCCCATAAACCAAACCAAGTAATCATTCCTTCAGTTTCTCTTTCTAATTCATGTGTACTAAATAGATCTTTGTATTTGCTCTTTTAAGCACATAGTCTTCTACCATTTTCTTTACTAAAAGTTTTGGAGGAATCTGTAGAAGGTAATATGAAGACCACTGTTCTAAGAAAACATCGAAAACAAAAAATCTATCACTTTACCTGGAGAAGCAGCAAATCTTTCGAAAACCTATTATTTCAAAAAAACAAAACAGGAGAAAATTTAATATTACAAAATGTGAAACCAGCTTACCTAACAAATGAGGTGTCTTTAGGTCTCAATTTTTTTTTTCTTTTGAGAGAGATAGAGTGCACATGCGGCAAACACAGCTTGGGGGGCTGGTGAGTGGGAGGAAAGGGCAGAGAGAGAGAGTGGGGGAGAATCTTAAGCATGTTCCACACTGAGGATGGAGTCTGACATGGGGCTTCTCTCACAACCCTAAGATCATAATCTGAGCTGAAATCAAGAGTCAGATGCTTAACCGACTGAGCCACCCAGGTATCCCTGTTCTATTAGCATTTACACGTAAAATTGGGAAAAAAGCTAGCAGCTTTTTTACGGAGTCTGCTTCACAAGTCCTGGGGGGTCAGACGGGTTCCAAATTGGGTGGCCCTTTAATTCTCCAGCTACCTATAGTTCCATTCACAGACCTCTAACAATCAATAAAGTGCCACTTGCTCCCAAGTACTTGCTTAAAATACTGCTTTGCAGCCATAAAGAAATTCTCCCAGTTGAAATTAGAATTCAATAGGTTTAAATACTTTACAAATGCTTCAAATGAGATTATGAAGCGAACCAGCATGTATTTATCATACCAAAGCATAGGCACATTTTCCTTTAAATATTTGAGATTCTGTCTACAGTGCCCCTGTTATATTCATTCAAATTATTCTGATAGTCTAAAACAATGAAGGCTCTAAACTGGTGGAATGTTGCCAGAGGATTTCAACAGAGTTTGAAGGCGACCTAACCAAAAGGCATAGTTTAAATTGGCTTACGGAATGAATGGGCTCCTTATCAGAGCAGCTGAAGGCTGTCCATAATTAACAGCATCTGCCAACATTCACAGGGCCCCATATAGAACAGACAGGCCCTCCAGCCCCACAGGGAGCAACCTCCAGCTTCTGGCACCTTAAGATCCACCCGACCTCAACAAAAAGACAGTCCAGACCCATCACTGGACTGATACATTCTAGTGATACTAGCAGGACCACAGGGCAATGGCTAATTAATGTTAATTACCTAGAACAATTCTGTTCACATTAGCACGGAGGCTTCAAATTAGCCAACCATCATAAAAACTATAAAACAGTGGTTATGGAGAGAAGGTTCTATCAGTAATTTCTGATTTTAAAGTTTCTCTTGTGTTATTTTTAAGGGGCATTAACATGATCCGTTAACCTCCCTTTTTATCTGTTGCATTCTTGATTTAATTCAGCGTGAATACTTCTGTATCAAGAGTATTAAATTTGTTCTATGGCAATTTTGGGTTGTTTCCTTACATTCTGATCACATTTCCCTCATGAACATGTACAAAATCAAACCGAATCACACAAGTCCAGAGGAAGTTTCATTAAATAAATTTATTTGTTAAAATAATTTAACTCCAAATACAACTGTTGAATTTGCATTGAGTTATAACTACAATTCATGTTTTAATCGAAATGTCAAGGTTTAACAACTGACATTGTTACAAAACAATAAACTGTTGTTCAATTTTAAATGGTCAGTTGTATTAGAGCTCAACAATTAACTGTGAACTATATCTCTAGGAAACCCCAAATCAATAATGATAAGTCTGTTTCCAAAACCCACTGCAGTCATTCTTGAAACCCTGATCAAGATTTAATAGATGCACAATGACACGTTAATTAAAAAAAAAAAAAAAGAAAGAAAAAGACCCCCACAGTCTTTAACATTTGATTGGCAAAGGAGACAAGTAAAGCTTAACAGTGCGAACACAAAACTAGTGAGAAAAACAACTAAAAAACAGAACAAACCAACAAGAAAACCAACAGCCACAAACAATAAGCACTTTTCACATTCAGACATACGCTGACAACATTCCCACTGGAAAACTCCTGAAAACTAACGGCAGACATCCTTAGGCAACATTTCCTTATAAAGAAAAGCAAGTATCAGTAGTTTTACCACAGAAAAGTGATGGCAACGCCTAAGTGCTTAGTCAAAAGTTAAGTTCTACCTCTAAAAACCAAAGGAGAAAATCATCGAAGCACCTTTCAATAGTTTAAGGAAGATTTTATGTAATGCTTTTGATCAATGCTGGCTTGTTTGGTGTAAATGGAACGAAAGGAAAAGGCATCAGTTACCATCACTATCACAGCTTAAACCCCCCCCCCCCCACAAAAAGGATGCATCATAAAAGGAAAAAAAAAAAAAACCTCCTAAAAAACGCTGCCTTTGTCGGAAGTGAAACAAGACAAAATGAAAACAGAAGAAAAGCTTATCACAAACAGCTAAAGAAAAAGTGGGTCTTTGGATCAAACCATAACATTTTTTAAGGCATGTTAGAAAAACGTTCACGTAACTAGTTGCTCGTCTGATCAGGGCATAAAATCAACAGCGACGCAAGGTCACCGACTTCTCTCTGTAGCCACTGTGACGTCATGTCACTTGACCCTCCTGTTCTTCAGCTTGTTAGTAACACCTCCACAAACACATTCCTTCAAACCCAGTTATATTCCTACCCGATGAAACACCAACAGGAAGAGCACAAGAGGTTTCCCATGTTTCTGGGGATCTTTGAGGCTCTGTCACTAAGCACGGAGGGCTGTGTAGAAACACTGATCAGGCAGCCAGACCGGTTCTTTGCAACGTCTATACAGTAAAAACCCGCCTTCTTGTCTGACACAAACACTTCCGAACGAAAATCCAAAGGGTTAGATAATCTTTTCCACTTTAAGTTTTTGACATTCCTTTCATATTAACTTCTTTTTCTTGTCTGCATAGCAATCCGTAATGTAAAACTGTAGTCCTTTAGACGTTTTTAATACATAATCTTAGTTGTCATAAATTGCTGTTAAATACGGAATTCTAAAAAAAAAATCATTCTGAGAAGTTAGAGGCTTCAAATCTCAGCCGATTCACTAGCAAATATTTCTATTTCTGTGGACAAATCATACTTCTTGAATCTCGGATTTCTCTAAATGTTTTGAGTTGAATCAGCTGTGACATACAGAGCTTGGTTCCAAGAAAACAGGTTGGAACTTTCTGTCCTGTAAACGAGGTGCTTCCCCGTTGGGGGTTGTCAGAAAACACTATGCTGAAGAATGCAAATATTCACAATTCAAAGCATCTTTCATGATCACGGCCTGGTTGTATCCATGAATCTGTTTTCTCATCTGTGAAAAGTACTATCTACCTTTCTGCCATCCTCTAAACTCAGTGCCAGTTTACCAAACACTTGGGGGCCAGCAATGATTTCCATAATGTGTAAAAAAGAAAACAAACCCACACAAATAATTTAAAAGGAAAAAAAATGCTTGTGATACACTATATCCTGCAGTACGGAGTCTGAGTATAGGCAATTATCTCTGACTTGTGCCAAATTCTTAGGAACAATAAACACACATGCACACACAAACACACATTCTTCGCTCAGGTACACACATAAGACCAGAGGTTACTTGCACAAGTGTGTGAAGCCAACAGAACGTGAGGCAAGGACGTGGATCGCAGGCTCAGTGACAGTGCAGTTCCAAAGGCCAAATTTCTCTCCAGAGGATTAAGCTCAAGATACGCTCTTCAGCATTTACAACTCTGAGATTGGTTGAAAACCCTTCTATGCTTGATTGTAAAAACTTAGGGATAGGTTTTGCCTGCGCCATTAGTCATGCAAATGATAACTACTTCAGGGCTATGAAAACCAAAAGTGCCAGAGCTCGGAGCACCGTTTCAAAACAAAATACTTACTCTAGCTTTATTGGCCACTTCAGTAATCAGGGCAAAATTGTTTTAAGAAAATCTTTATATAATTCCCCAGGAAAATTAAAGATAAAAGGTTTTTTTAGGGTTTTTTTGTTTTTTTTTTTTGGGTCCCTTGCCTTCCACCCTATAATTTATGTTCTACTTTTAAACCCAAATTATTTCACATGGTTATTCAATTTTTAGGTGCCTGCAGTAAAGCTCTGCTACAGGAAACTTGATTTTGAAAGCAGGTTAGCCAAGAATCACACCACAACCATAGCCCTTAAAGGCAAGAAGGAATTTGCTGCTTTGACGAATGTAAAAATGCAAGATATTTGTACTGTCCTGTGAGGTTTCCGCAAATGGGAACGTGTGGATGCAACATGGCTTCATTTTCCTTACGCGATGGTACTAGTTCATCGACCAGAACACATCTTGCGAGTAAGGCTAGGCAATCTTCCCGTGACAGTTGCTTCCTTCTTGTTCAGTAAAGTGATTAAGACCACCCCTGCTTCAGGAACAGAGGGTGGGCTCGGGGTTTTAAAGGGGATCAAACCCTCTTGAGAGCCTCCATCTTCTGCGGCCAAGCAGGTGGTTTTTACACATTCTAAAGCCAGACTCTGTTCTTCTACACGACCCGTTCTGACTTCTGCTCTGTCAAGGACTGATGCGCGGGTTAGTTCTGCGTCACAAATTAGGATAACATCTACAATTAAGCATCAATTTTGAGAAACGGGAATATGTCAGCTGAGGGAAGATTCGCTCCCTGTAATGCTGTCGGCAGGCCAGCTGTTATCTTACTTGACGGGATACATTGGTTAGAAGCACTATCTCCAGTCCTGAAATTCAGTACTCTCCTAGGAAAATATTTCTCCTTTACTTAATTTTATTTTTTTAAGAAGACAAAATATTTTAACTGTAAGCGGTCATAGGGACTCTTCCGGTTTCTCTCTCATGGTTACTTTTAATTTATACAATAGTTGCTTCTGTCAACCCAGCGACAATGCCATCACGGCTTCTGGAGGCGATCACCCTGTAGATCAATCGGCTATGCCTTAAAGTTGCAGGTGCACACAGGAGACGGAGGACCGTGGTGAAGACCGGAGTTCCTGAACCCAAATGTTACTCAGAGATATCAACTGACAATCACTGCTCGATGCTGAATAGGGGGGCTGTTTCACTGTGGATTCACACCACACATCCTGCGTGCTCTGCAGTCAGGCAGACGAGGTGTGTGTCACCTGTGGTGGTGGTGTCACCTGTGTGCCCTGTCCAGGACAGCCGTGTTCGAATGCTATTGTATGTTACATGCAGAACAGCACGGGTCGTCTTTGTCGGGCTGTGCCGCATAGTTCATCTGCCTCACGATTTCTGCGAAGAGTTCATCTACCATTGTTTTGCTCTTGGCGGAAGTCTCCATAAAGGGGCAGCCCCACTCTTCCGCGAGGGCTCTGCCTTCATTAGATGATACTTCTCTCTCACTTTCCAGGTCCACCTTGTTCCCCACCAAGATGACTGGCACTTTCTCATACCTGCAAGACAGTAAACGACACACATGAAATGTGGAAGTTAGCAGGAAATTCAGCGGCCAAACCACATTTTCTCTTTTGTCGTTCTATTCTACTACACATTATTCCCTTTCACTGAGTGAAAAATTATTTGCTTCACTTGGCTTGACATCTACCTGAGGGCATTCAGAAGCAGAAGTGGATCATAAATGGGTTTTCTGAAAATGAGGTTAATTCATCAATTATACATCTTTTAAAATCAATTTACCTTTCCAGATATATTTGGAAAATTATTCTCAGAATCTCAGAAAAGTCCTGTTAGGTGGATTAATTTTAATTTTTTTCATTCTAAGAGAAGCTTACTCAAAATTCAGTTGATGAGGTAATAGCTCTACTGAGTAAACAAACAATTCATAATGGTCAGCCGTTTACTCTGTTCCATAGACATACTGGTCATGCGCAAATAGGTCCTGAATGTGAAAAAAGATAGGAGAAATCATTAGGAGAGAAACTATCAAATAAAACTCTACTCTATGCCTTTATAAAACTGTCGTAGACTGGCCAGTTGAAAGACCATCATGAAAATCCTTTTCAGCCTGTTAAGGATTAAACCTTTCAACCATTAGCTTTATTTGATTGTCTCTTCTTTTCCTTCCTTAACAGAATGGGTGGGTCATAGACAGGAGGTTTGTGTCACCTTCCTCCCTGTCAGATGTAGAAACCTAAGCCCCCCTGGACTGTATTTAAGAGTTCGGGCCTGATGTGGATGGAACTAGAGGGTATTATGCTAAGTGAAATAAGTCAATCAGAGAAAGACAACTATCATATGATCTCCTTGATATGAGGAAGTTGAGAGGCAACGTGGGGGGCTTGAAGGGTAGGAAAAGAATAAATGAAACAAGATGGGATTGGGCAGGAGACAAACCATACAAGACTCTTAATGTCACAAAACAAACTGAGGGTTGCTGGGGGTCGGGGGGTCGGGAGAGGGTGGTGGGGTTATGGACATTGGGGAGGGTATGTGCTATGGTAAGTGCTGTGAAGTGTGTAAACCTGGCGATTCACAGACCTGTACCCCTGGGGCTAATAATACATTATATGTTAATAAAAAAATAGAAAATTATTAAAAAAAAAAAAAAGTTCGGGCCTTTGGGAGGTGATGAGGTCACAAATGGGACTCGTGCCCTTTTGTACCTAGAAGAGATAGGAGAGTACTCCTTTGTTCCTACTGCTGTGTGAGGACACAGCACAAAGATGAGTTTATGAACTAGGGACACGGACCCTCATTTGACCTGGAATCTGCCAGAGGCTTGGTCTTGGACTTCCGGCCTCCAGAACCATGAGAAATGAATTCCTGTTCTTTAAGCCACACAGTCTATGGTATTTTTGTTATAGAGCCAGACAGACTAACATAAGGTGACTGTGAGTTACGAAATGAAAAGGATCGACTAATAAAGATAAGAAACGATATGAAAGGTTAAGCAAGAAGAAAGGCCCTACATCATATTGGTACCTAAAGATGATTCTCTTTTCGATGCTCACTCCCCGTTTAAAAATACATGGTGCTACACTGCACGTTTATTTACTATTTTTGTTTACATTTGTTGTAAGAAATATTGCTAATATATTTTCATAAGGCTATCGTTTTTACTCTAAACACCACTTTACAAGCTTCTTGTGATTTCACAGTGTAAATCAATGCATGCTAGTGTGTGTGTGTACTGTCCCCTAAGCAGGGTGCATGTCTAATTTATAAAGGAAGCAAACTGCAAAATTGCACACCAGTGATAACATACGTGACTGGACACAGCAAATCGGATGGAAAACTGTCAGGAGGTTGAGACTCAGAGTTTGTTTTTTTTTTTTTTTAATCATTCAGGAAACTGACTGAGGGCCGGTGGTTACAATTCGTGAGAATACTTGCACAACTCTACCATCCTGCTCAAAGGGGTTTCTCCCCTCACTCTAACTTGTAAAGTAAACTATATTCCCGACAAAGGCTCACTTTCTTCTGGGCACTAGATGGAATGGAGAGCGGTTTCAACAAGGGGCATGCTCCAGGCGGCGTGCCACGTGGCAATCTGGAACATAAAAATAACTGAAACATGTGTGGGGATAACAGTATTGACAGTTAATCTAGAGCGTGGGTATCATTTCTGCAGGAAATGGATTTGGACAATTCCCATTTCTATCAGGGACTTTGTATGAATTTACGGGGCATCGACTGTGACATCGTCCTACAGAGCGGTTCTGAAAACAGGACACAAGAGTCTTTCGCACCTTCCAGGACTCTTACCTACAAACATCTCTGCATAGCCTGTGGCCTTAGGAAGGACAAATGGCAGCAAGAGTGAGCCGCGTTACAGACCCCATGGCCACTCTGCACACAAGCCCTCCCGACCCGCTGTGCGGAGAAGTCTGGCAGGAGCTCCCAGCACCAGTCCTAGCAGGACAATGTCACTCCCCTATTTGACTTGCAAAGATGTAACTGCGTTTCATTTTTCTCAGGAGTATAGATGCCACAGTATGTTTGACAACACTTGGTTTGGCAGTGAGGTTAACATAAATATTAACACAATTTGGTTAATGTGTTAGTTGAATTTAATTAGGTTAAAAGTTAATTTCAACCTCTGTTTACAAGACTTAACAAAACGGACAGTGATAAGACATCCCTTTCTGTTATGAGGTAAGCAATACATATTTAAGAGAATGTTTTTTAGTTTAAATACAGTAATGTATCATGTTTTATTTGTAAAGAGGCATTTCTTACACTCATTAAAAAAAAACACAAATAGGGGCACCTGGGTGGCTCAGTGGGTTAGGGCCTCTGCCTTTGGCTCAGGTCATGATCCCAGGGTCCTGGGATCGAGCCCCGCATCGGGCTCTCTGCTCGGAGGGGAGCCCGCTTCCCCTCTCTCTCTGCCTGCCTCTCTGCCTACTTGTGATCTCCTTCTGTCAAATAAATAAATGAAATATTAAAAACACACACACATACACACACACAAACCCCCCACAAATACGTGGGTTTTCAAAATTCGTAAAAATACCAAATCATTAACAGTTGTACGATACACAGTTTGAATCAAGAATCTTAATGTTCCCAACAGATTCTTCAAAGGTAAACCAGAACACTGCGAACATAGGTCCCTATGTAACGACATTTGATGACTGTCACATGAAGATGACAACTTAGTATCAGGGAGTCTGTCCATCATACCGCTGTTTGAATAGTCAGTGGTCTTTTCTAAGAGCCAACACGCTAAAATGCTAGAGAGATCCAGACTGATATCCTCAGAAGACTTTCAAAGACTAAATAAGGTCTTCGGGGAAAGGTATTATGTACATTCCAGGAGAGCAGACGGTGAGAAATTTTTGTCTCTTTCGGTTAACATGAAAATATGACACCGGAGAAAAGATGCTAAAGCAGGATTTGGAGGCTCAGCTTCCAGCCCCGTTGCGGAGGCTGCGAGGTTGGGGAAACCATTCACTCTCACCTGCATTTCCCTTGCTTGTCAGTAAAGACGGAGAAAGAGTATCTACCCCCACTCACCGCGAGGGCTGCTGTGAAGCTCATGAGACACCCTTGAAACTCGCGAGTACGCCCCCCCTGCAGGGCGGCGCTTCTCTCCCCTTCTCCCCCTGCTTCTCCTGGGGTCGGAACAAGAGAAGCTGATGGGGGTGAGGAGCTCCTGGGGACACACGGGCAGAACAGACTGACCCGGAGTCACAGATGGAAGCAGCCACCTGCCACCAGCCTCCCCTGTCTCTGGACCCCATGCCCAGCATGAGGGTAACCAGGGACAAGCAAAGCAGGGAAGCCTTCTCCAAATACGGGTATCCATAGGGGAAGGGAACACGAGCCTTTGGGTTGGGATGGGAGAATGGGTCCCACGTGTGGGGTGAGATTTAGAGAAACCTGGATCTGCGTGAAGGCAGGCAGGTGAGAAGGCAAAGGGAAAGCAGCAGAGCCTTGCGTTGACGGAGTAGAGGAGGGCGTGGGGAAACCGTCCCCACCGGCTGGTGCCAAACGGTGTCCTAAAACACCAGCAAACGATGCCAGGCCAGGACTCAGTCCCAGAACTGCTTCCAACTAGCTCTGTGAGTTTAGAAAACTAACTTCATCCCGTGGTTCTCCAGTTTCTTGAACCATAACGTGAGCTGGACTAGGTCATTTCTAAGGGGCTCTTGAGCTAAAAATCAGAACTTAGTGGGCCACTCCCATAATCACCCCATGTCATTTACCCAGCGATTGCTGAGAGCTCAGCACTCTTCTCACCATGACCCCGACAGGCCGATCTCTACAAGGGATGTGAAATGCACAGCAGGACTAAGGCCGAAATGTAGGGGAAACCTCAGATCTTGTTGGGGACAAGACCAAGCAGTAGAGGCTTTCAACTCTACCAGTGGAGCGACTCTGGCCAGTGAGCTGGGACTCGGGACCTCAGATGTGGGACAGTCTGAGCCGTGGGACTGTGGAAGGCCCTACTGAAAGCCGGCTGCAGCAGCGTCAAGAACTAGTGAGAAACAATCAAGGCATCATATACTGATGCATCCGCTTAACACACAATTATTTGATAAGAGCCTACTACGTGCCAGACGCTGTTCAAGACACTTAAGATACATCAAATGAGCAGAACAAAGATCTTTGCCCTCACAGTGATGATCTAGCCGAGAAGACAGACATATGACAATATAGCCGAGAAGACAGACATATGACAATAAACACAGTAAATAATTCCTGAAAGGGGTGAAGTACACTGGAGGAAGGAAAATGTAGGTCTGGGCGGGGACTGGGGCACAGGTGCAATTTGAAATTAGATGATCAGGGTAAGCCTCGGGAAGGTGGGAGCGAAGACGTGACGGGAGTCGGGAGTTTGCCTAGTGGCTGCTGGGAAAGAGCATTCCAGTATGGAAGCAACCCTCTACTGCAGGGAACTAGCTCACTGGAGGCTAAAGAGAACTTGGGAACCTGGGTGGCAGAAGTGGCCTTGAAAGACAAATGGGACATTACGACAGGGTCAACT